TCGGTTCTGGACTAGTTGATCACAACAAATGCGTAAACGTTCTCTGGCATTCTCCCCTACCACCTTCGGTATTGCCCAACCCTGAAGCGCCTAACCAATGGTCGATAACGATGCACGGAAATTCCTAGCTCACTGTGAATCTAATGATTTAGCAGTTCAACGTGGACGTCTTCACAATGGACCACCTTTTCTGGGTTATCTGTTTCCACCACCGTTTATGCCACGACCACCGTTCCCGTTTTTCCATCCCCTAATGATGAACTTTCCTGACACAGCCGACACCGTTCCTAGACTAGCTGAGCCAGGTATGGACCCTTTTCCATTTTCTAGCAGTTCCTTTGCACCTCGCATCTTTCTAGACAAGGCAGCTTTGCCGAGCTGTTGGCCAGCAAGAGATATCGGTACTAATTTCTTATGTTGTACGGTGGATTGGGCTAGACAGCTGTCATTTTTCAGCGATCTCACTCAGCAAGATCAGGTTTGGGCTCGTGAGACCCCAGCAAAGACTAACATAATGTTCGGGTGCCTTGCAGATCACTTTACTACAGTCCAGCTGGGTACAGTTGTTTGTGCTGTGCTCTGCTAGCGGAGCCATACCGTTGGTGACTCCAGAAGAGGCTGACACCAAGAACTGCAACGTCTACATGGTGGGTCACTTGGGTTCAGTAGCTTTGACGATTAAAGAGTAGTTGAGGATTTCAGGAACACGTTGAGCGCCTTCGTTCAATCCATATGGACTTTTTCGAAATGAACAGCCTCAAAGCGGCAATACTTTTTAATCCAGGTGTGTCTACATAGTAAAGGATCAGATCACTTAGTTGTAAACCAGCTGTTGGAACAGCCTACATCACGCATTTTGACTCATTACCCTGACCTCCCCGTTTTTCTGAGAAAATCAGTGTCTTACAGACGTCTATGACTGAAAGCTCTCTGAGCTTGGCTTGGCCTCAGAAGGCGAGACTCTACGAGTTCAATCCTCCTCAGCCAATTCCAAGGATATTGCTTCCACTTGAGGGCGTTTTATGCCTTCACAAATGGCATTCTTACCTTTCCGCAACTCCCTGGCGAGGTGCTTAATGAATAGTTTGTAACTCTATGAATTTTGCTTTCACTTGAAGACTGGTCATTATAGTTATTTACGCAGTTATGTTGACTAACAGTAATACCTAACTCATTCGTGAAGATGAGTTGGTTTTTACCTGAAATTCCTCTTCTTCAGAAGTATCATCTACCTAAAAATACAGTGGGAATCATCACTGATGCCATCGGGGTTCAAAATGGTCCGCTGACGGCTAGGCTTGTGAAGCTTTTATTTCGTGCTACCGTAATCCGGGCTGAGGAGTTGCGAAGCAGCCGTCAGTGGAGGAGGGCGTAATCTGCGATTTGCATCGTGCCATACACTTGCACCCCATCCATTATGAGGGACCTAGCGATCCAATTCGAGATAAATTCCAGACAACTAGCCTCGACGGGCTCCCGGCAAAAACTAGACAAAGACAGAGAGATGCTGAGCTTCAGTTGTTCCACCAACACTAGGACTGACGTTGTATTTCAGATACTCCAGCACTGAATGAGCCATTGAAGGTGGAAACAATACAGGAAAAGATCCAAGCCTCTCTAGATGAGTACTGTAGGACACAGAAACCTCATCAGGTGAGCAAAGTTTAAGTAAATTGTTACAAACTTTTTTTACGAAATCGTGCAAAACGGTTTTAAACGCTCAATGTCGTAGTGGGCTCTAAAATGCCCTCAATCGAGTCCCATTCTAAGATTGAAAGCTGAAGCGTCATACAATTAGATATGTAAGGTTTACCGGGGGTTGTCAAATTGGCTGCCATTCGGGCTTATATTACGACTTTGGCTCAGTCACATCTTTCTACCTGCCCAATAAAGTTTCTTCAGTGGTGCTCAGGAAAATCGCATGGAATGGGATATTCATGTCATCTATACCAACAATTGACAACAATTGAATAATGTAAGCGTCAGTTAGCCAGGAGCTATTCAGTGGTCTTCATCTAAAGTAAACTGTTAAAGCACTTCACCACCTTCCCTTTTCAGTCTTCATATGTTATCGAAGAGGTCTCCTCACTCTCATAAAAACCATGCAAGACGAGTCACGAGCGTCTAGGATACCAACCTGATTTACGCAGGAGTGTATCCTGCTCAGAATCTTGGAAGACGTACCTCTTCGGCCTCAACTGACCAGGGTTTACGATGGCAGACAATGGGCTTGACACTGAATTCTGCACCTAGGAACAGCAGCTTTCCCGTAGATTCGGTTTTATTCACCCAAATTGACATCGATTCGGCTCAGGACTATTGGAATAATATCGTTTTTTGCTTACCCCCTACAATCATTTATCCTGCTCTTATACACTCCGTTTCAGGCAGGCCGTTTCGGTCGTCTTCTGCTTCGGCTACCGGCTCTTCGAGCACTTGACAGCTCAACGATCGAATCCCTGTTTTTCGCCAAATTGCACACTTCGGTTGCTGCCGCTATCAAAGAGCTTGTCACCCAGCCTGTTCTTATTCCAAAATTCTGGCCTATTCCAATGTTTCCACAATTCCCAGTCCCTCCTACTTTGCCCTAAACTTCTCCTGTCTTTTCCGTGTATTCTGAAAACGGATACGTTCGCTAGTTTCCAGTAGACTGGTAGTCTTCATGCAGTGCCGATCAAAATTATTGTACATTGCGTCCCCTCAACTTCATCAGCTGGGGTTTTCAAAGTGGAACGCTCTTTATCCATAACAAATGAGCCATTTGTGAAAATCAGTGAGCCAAACGAGCTTCAGTGTCCGATGCTTGGATTCCCACAGAATAGGAAAGGTTGGGAATCCGCTTCATGTGGGAAATGGACCAAATGACCCTATACTTTGATTAGAAAGTGATTTCTTTGAATATAGTTAGGTTCAGAAGATCTGTATGTACATCTAAAGTCTCGTGCACATGACCACATAGAATTGCTTCGACAGAATTTTATGGATCTTATCTCCTACCGTATTCTTTTCTTAGTTCAGTTCATTTGAATCGGATTTAATAGAGAATTAGTTTTATATTTTAGAACTTTGTACTTTGATGCCATTGACCGATTGATGTACGGGTGAATAAATGTAGATGTGAGGCTAATCCTTGAACCACAGTAATGGAAAGCGAACGAAAGCGGGCGCATTCATAGGCGCTCTTAAGCCCAATCGTCATTCTTTGAGGGTGACGGGGTTCTGCCCGAAAGGATTAAACCGCTCTTTTCGATCGGCCGATGGGCAATCCAGGAAAGTCTTCATTGTTTTCTTGGTAGGCTCGAGAAAAAGTACTCAGTATCAACGATCAGCATAAAGAGGTCGACATTCACTCATCCGATCATTATACGCCGTGCATACGATTTGCATTCCAAGCCGCCAAAGCATTTGATTACGCTTTTGGTCCGAAAAAAAGATGGTGTTTGTAATAGCGACTTTTTTCTGCCAGGTTGAGGAACCATAGAAAATAGGAAAGTTTAGAAAGCGCTGAATCCAAATCAACTTCAGACCAGGAGGAATTAGCGCATTCTCCGTGACATCGTGCAGTATGTAATAGTGGTCGGATCGCTGGCTGGTCAACTCCCGCATTGAGAACTGATTTTTTGAAATGAAAATATGATTTGCCCTTCCTCCACCAATTCAGCTGCACCAAAAAAGGGTGAAGGATAATCTTTTGGCTTGGAATTGATCCCATTTTTGGGATGTGCCCCCGCATTCGACTTCTATTCAGAATCGTAGTGGCTGGCACATTCGGCCGTTACAGTGGCTTGCGATGGTAAGCTGACGTAAAAATGGATGCTTTTATCCTCCTAGACGGATCTAGCGCAAGTTAACGCCGGAGGACTGGAATCCGAGATTCATACCGCAGATGCTGCGTGCGTTATGCTGCGCCACTTACAATTACACCACCTCGATCCTTTATCCTTTATCGCAACCCTACTTTCCGGAATATGGGACCAGAACTAATAAAAGCTTTTTTCATTATTGAACGAGTTCATGGCTGATTCCATGTTTTGCTGACCAATCCAACTCACAGAAGGCACAATGAAACACATGGTATACCCAAAACCAAGCCGACCCTTGTACTTCACTGCAGAGGTCGTATGCATACCTGAACGTTTTTAAGGTTACAGGAAAGGTAATTGAATGCATGGCGCATTCCACTACCACTTACGGGTGGTTTACACTATTTTCTTTCTGAACGCCAACATAACAGCTGATATTCCCATGTGCTTGCTGTGCTGGGTCCATAGCGATCCTCCATGAGTTCCGAAGCTCATCAAACGCAGCACCGCTGACCCCGTGGGAGTACTCCGATGCCTGACCAAATGCGTTCGTCGCCGTGCTTGATAATGTCATGCGATCATCATAATAGCACATTACAGTATGCATGAACGATCGCTACGGGACCTCTCAACGACCCTTCACACAAAAGCTACCAATTCGAATGGACATTATGCATATTATTGAG